AAAGCAAAAAACATGATGTGTAGCTGTGATAAAACTGCATGTAATGATACTGTACACTACCTCAATTACAACTGTACTACTTTTCACATCTTTTACCTGGATGTAGAAATGCTTTCAGGTCAGAAAGGAGGTCTGAGGAAACTGTGGTTCCTCTAATAAAGTTAAATGATTTTAATAATGCATGGTGCACTGCTCGTTAACGTTTTACAGTAGCCATTTTTCTCTAGGTGGTGACTGTATAAGATGTGCCTGTTGTGGTAAGACATACACCTCTCTGAACTAACAGCCACATTAAACGGCTCATATATTCTAGTTAAACCTGCTGGGAAGTCTGAGGCCGTGGTGGGTGGGCCGGCCCTACTTCCTCTTAGATATCAACCACAAAACAGGCTCCATAAAGCATAAGAGCTGCATCCTGGAACTGAAGGGCTAAGTCAGCACGAGTCTGCCCAGATGATATCTTCTTAGTATCACTCACAGGTGTGACTTGGTTATTAAACACGTCACGCAAGTTTCATGCAGCGGCTCATTAAATCCTTTTGACGACAACAAACGCTCCACAAACGTTACACCTTGGGCTGGCTAAGAAGAGACAATACTGAGTGTAAAATGACACGACAGGAGTATTTTGAGCTGCCTCTTACCAGAGGTAGCTCCCAGAGTAGGCCACAATATTGTGGTGCATGCATTCCTTCACCATGAAGATTTCCTGCTGTATGATGGAAAAGTCATCCCCTGGAAACAGAGGGGGGAAAAAAATCACAAACACAAGGACAAAATACTTTCATTTTCAAGGAATTGTTTCCCTTTAAAATAAGGTATCTTTCCACTTGAGCATAAATTCCTCTTAAAATGATCAAAGCCATAAAACCGAAGCATTTTGGGTTATGACTCATCTACAAAACCTACATTATAAAACTTGTTTTTGGTGCTAGAGATGACCTTGAATGTTGACAACAACAAGCTCAAAGCATTTTAGATTACAGAAAAGTTGTGTACGCCTTAAAATTGAGTCTTTAGGAAACACTTTCCCTTTGATTTGACAAGTCAAAAAAACAACAACAAACAAACAAACAAACAAAAAAACACATACTCACAATATCTCTGTGTAAACACAACAGATCATATGCCAGTGAATAACAACAGAAGGATCACCTTGTACTTTTAAAATTTATGTGGTATAGGCCAATAACCAGGTGACTTTCCAGAGCAGAAAAGCACACGAACACATCCGACCAGTGGGAGGTAAGAAAACAAAGATATATAAGCCCAGCTGTTCCCAGTAGTGCAGAGCCATGGCCCTGGAATCCATTAACAGGATGTTAAGATCTAACAGACTGCGTCAGCTTCAGCGCTCTATCAACAGACTGTCAGCACATGAAATGGTCCACATTAAGGCGCCTTTTAATAGAACCAATCTCTGCCATAAACATTAAAATCAAAACAACAGGCTGCACATTACTGGTGGTGGAAATTACAGTCAAGACACCAATTTTTCTGCATATGGTCAAGGGTGTCAGTTCTGCTCACCAATATGACAGTTTATTATATTGCTGCATCTGTTGCTGCTTAAAGTGCCTTAGATTTTGTGTTACTTATTTATCTACTTTATATTTCATTTGTATTTTGTGGCATTCATGTGGACGGCAAAGTAAGAATTTCATTGTACAGGGAAACACGTTTCCTAACTGTGCATATGACAAACACTTTAACTTTGAGTACACTTGGGCTGGGTCTGAAATCACTCCCTATTAACTCATTCACTACTCCCTATGTAACGTATACTATGCATGTGTAGTTCACTCCATAGCAAACAGTAAATTAAGATTTTAGACACGTTAATTTTCTGATAAAAGGCGGAGCATTGCATTATGGGATTGTTAGCAGAAAGTTGCTGCTCTTATGCTCCATTGGGAGGTTTTTGATTGCACATGGCATTTAGACACTATTACAACATGGCAAATGAACTGTATAATGACAAGACACAACTTTGGTCTTCTGATTGTTGAATCCTGTTTTAAAAGAAACATGAGGTGGCTGACAAAACAGTCAAGAGTACATAGCTCCAGAACCAGGAGGCTAATTAAAGTGATATGGGGGCAGGTGACGTTTAGAAGACAACATGGTAAGTGAAGATACCTGCTGGGCCACAAATGTTCTTTTTCAACTACATAAAGAGTTCATACCCAGTGAGTCAGCAGCTGGATACGCAGTAGTCCTACTTTCAAGCCTGTCTGGGAGGGGTTGGGCTCTTTTGTATTAAGCAACATCACTAGTGAAATCTAACTGTCACATCACATCTGTTTTTAACAGATTCATCCGATCAAGGGGAAAAGTCAGGCCACAGAATATTTTTTATAACACAGCAAAGACACTGACTGTGGAAAAGTGAAATTGTGGAAGTGTAAGTCACCGGTGGGAGGAGGAACCGTGAACATGTAATGCACCGTATATAGAAAGTATGAGAGGCGTTTACAGTACATCCAACTGGTTTTACAAGTCCACTAATATATGACTTTAAATAGATTCAGACGCCTCCTGAAATCCTCCTCTGTGGCTCCAGACCCTGCCACAGACCTTCCCTTCATGCTTGAGATGTGTCAGTGATTGATTCATACATGCTGATCTTGTCCATTACTTTCTGTTACACAGGCTTGATGCATCTGCAACATATAACTGAACTATACTTAAGAATGTCAACAAAGGCTTATTGTGAAACCCTCCCTTCTATCTGTAAGACTAAAGTTGTGTTTCACTGTAGTTTATAGTCTTAAGTGGCATCATAAGGACGTAATGAACGTCTCACAGAAGCTGATGCTTTAATGAAGATGAATGTGAAAATAAGTTCCCACACTCTTCTGTTTGCCACATTACAACAGTACAATAAGACGACACTGTGTAGAACTCATGAATTAAATTACAACTGCATTTTACAGCGTCTGGAATTTCAGTGTTTTTTAGTTTAGAGTCATATTAAATTAAAAAAAAAACTGCTGCTGATCACAGACATGTTGAAATGTTTCTGTTGAGACTAAGGAAATGATATGACAAGTCACAAAACTTTGAGCAGCAGTAATTTCAACTTGGTGAAAAGACATTTTAGTTGTCTGCAGTGGGTCCCCCCCACAATATTCTTTTCTTACTGAGCTGAGGCTTAAGAGTCTACCCACTTCCTCCCTGTGCAGTGTGAACATACACATCCTCGCTCATTGCTTCCCGTTTCAATATGGCGACGTTAAGTCTTGACCAGTGTTATAGAAAACTGATTTCACAGATGTCTGAAGGCACCCTACTCATCAAATTACACTAACACTAATTAAGGAGCATCCAGGCAAAGGTAGTGATTCTGTTCTGATGTAACAATTAATAGAAAATAGATTCAGCCACAGAAATGAGGGGCACTGTTCCACACCCAAGTGGAAAAGGCCAAAACACTGGTGACTACATCTCAGGAACAAAAAGAACTAAATACTGTCACAGAAGAACAGAGGCATAGTGAGCTGTAGTGCTAATGTTGGCTAATACAAGTTCATCCACTGCAAAAGAAAAAACCAAAGCCTCCTATTTCATCTTCCCTTCATGGTCAACACCAATGTGGTCTTCAGTGGTCGTTTAGCCTCCAACTCATCAGATGAACCTGGTCTGTGCTCTGTAGCTCCTGCAGCCAGGGAGCTTCACCACTCCTAGCTCCTTTCTCTCTCACCTGCTCTTTCCACCTGGTCAGACCTGTTTGAGTCTATTCTCCACCCAAATCACCTCAAGCACAGAGTGGAGGCACTCTTGTAAAAACAGGGTGAATAAAGGAGAAGCCTGTTTTAACAGGATGGCACAAAGTGGGTTAATCCTTGTTTTGTCTCAAGAAACGACAAAGCAGATATGTAAAGCGCAAATATGAACGATGCTTGACGATTCATTTATGTTGCGGCTGATGTAAACAAACAGAATCACGAGACAATAACTTATCTTTCCTGTTATACAGCAACACTGCTTCTTAAACGTAACTTTTCAGGGGGTCTGTTTTCACATTTCGTTTGTCAGTTCCTTCACTACTCTTCATTTTCTTTTTACATCCATCCATTATTTACACTGCTCATGTCAGTCAAAAGGTCCACAAGAATATGCCAGTAAGATAATACCTAATTACAATAATCAGAATACAAACAGTTGGTTTTAGATTGTACCAGTTGTAGTTGTACTATGAGACACTTGAGACAAAGCAGTTAAAAATATAGCTTGTCTGTGAATGTGTGTGCTTTGATAAGTAACTCGACACTTACTTATATTTGTAAGTATCAAGTCAGAGCTTACTTGATAAGTAAATATGTCACAAACTTGAGGAAGCATGAACTCTGCCTCAAGCATGTACTAGGTATAAGCAAATTGATATCGGATTAGCATTTGTTGGATATGTGTAAAATTATGTGTGTTGATATATCAACTGTCCTTTTACATGCTTGAAAGAATAAATAAATCAAATCAAATCAAATAATTGCAGTCATGACTACTGGTACTGTACAACAATATCGCTTTGATACTTTTTCCACATTCCATTCAAACCCCTGGAAAATAAACTTATTTTTCCAGACTTGTCCTTATTTTTCAGCAGTAAAGTGTAAACAGGATCTTTTGTCCTTATTGATGAGATAATATGATGATCACTCTTACCCGGTTCTAACTTTATGATCTTCACAGCAGCAAGCTCCCCGGTTTGTATGTTTCGAGCCTGAAAGAAACGACAGCACAACTGTGAGCAGGGCTAAACGTATCGCAGCACTGTGACCGTTACTGCTTTAACCAAAACATGTTCATCTGTTTATTCAAATGACAAAACTAAACTTACACTGCTGAAAACTAATGGTCAACAACTAAGCTGTCTAGTCTAATACATTTGAACTAAGTATCAAAGTCACTTAACTTGGAACAATCAGAAATATCTGCTGGTTCAAGCTTCTCAAATGTGAGAATCTGAGGTTATTAGTTGATCAATAGAATAAATGGCAACAACTGATAGTTTAAACTTTTTGCTCTTGGTTGTCTTTTTAATGGTAAACTGAATATTTTTAGGTTTTTTAAGGGTTGTTGGTTGGAGAAAAAAAAAACAACACGTAATCTGATGACATCCCTGTGGGTGTTGGGCAGCGATAATGGATATTTCGGTATTTTTGGACCAAACTTTTAATCAATCAATTGAGAAAATAATCAGCAGATTACGATACAGAGACAATTCTGGCTAGTTACAGCCCTGTTTTCTTTTATATCTTTGTCAATGGTCAGACAAAACAAAGCAGTATGTTCAACCGCAAGGAATGTCAGCACTCTGTCGGACAAATTCAGCACCGTTACATTCTCAGTTATTGCCTCAGTGGTTGGTTACCTCTACTGGTAAACAACTAAACTCAAACCAAAAGTCTCCTAAACAAACATCATCCCCAGAGGTCGCTAGGTCAACCCATGGGCAGTGTCTATTTACAATGATGGCTACCAGTAAACCTTTAAATATCTCTGCTGTGCTTTTTGAATCCAGTCCATCTTAGTGTTTTCGTTCATTCTTGTCATTGTTATCCTTACGAACATTTAATCATTACCAGCTGCACAGTATGACATGTTAAACAACTAAATCTGAGTCAACAGAAGGATTTGAACTAGTATCTGTCCATTGTTTGTGCAAATCCAGGTCAAGACAGGATGCTCCCTAATCTGTGAGAGCGAAGTGATGGGACGGGCAGATATTTCAACCGTAAACCATAAAACCTTCCAGCACAGCCACCGTTCAATGCTAGGGAATGTGCTGGTGACTCACACATATAAACAGAAACCCACACAAACTTGCTGTGCAGCTGCACACGCACAGACACAAACACAACACAAGGTAACTTGAAAAGATTTTAAATGCTTATTTTCACCTGTGGAGGTCTGCAATTCTCCTGTTTTCAAATACTTCCTTTTTAACTTTACATTTCCTGACCACCAAGATGAGAACTAAACCCAAAAAAGTGAAGTTCTAAGCTGAAGATATGATAAACCAGATGAGACAGCTTTAACAACCTGAAACAACCCTTGACGGCAGGAAGGAACCCTGGCATGCAACAGAGCTCTAAAGGACTAATATCTGACAAGATCAATAATCATGCCAGACTGAAAGAAAAACAGGTGTGCCTGGTGTCTCCACAGATCTAATCTAACTGTGGTGTGAGCACGATAAACTCAAGTCTCTTTACAATAAGCAAATGTTTCCTTGTTTCCAACTTTTAACAACTTCAACAAAGTCTTTGCACACTATAAAGTTGTACTGTGGCAAGTAACATTGTTAATAATCCTCTGTAGGATTCTTTGGTTCTTTATTTGACATCCACTTTGGCACAAACACTAACAGAGGCAGAGCTGGTGTCAGTGCTCCACTCTGCTACAGTACTGACCCGTCAGAGATAAGGGGTAAAAATCACAAGTTTCATCACGACACCGTCTTATATCGATTCTCTTAGCCAGTGATCTGATGTTTGCCAATACATAAAAATGTCATGTTGCAATCCTGATTCGATTCAGCGGCCGGCGTTCAATATAAAATATATTATACGCCTATTTCACACAATCAATTACATTTTACAAACTCACAAATGCTACCAAAACATAATTCATTCACTATAAAGCGCTCTTCACATAGAAATAAGGACCCATGTTGACCTTATTCAACATAAACTTTAACTTTTGAGAAAGGAAATATTTACATTCACACAAACATAAATGCTGAAAATTCCACATTTTTGACTTCAGTTTGTTCGATCACTGTCCTGCTGTTCTGACGAGAGATGCTACGCCGAGGTCGCAGTTGGTGTGGATCTAACAATTCAGCAGCGCTTAGGTGCCACATCTCTTTGAAAAAGTACGAATTCCAAACAACATACCAATAAATAAAGGATATTCTAACAATAAACTACAGCGAGAGCCTGGCATTACAATGAAGATAAATGAATCATTATCATCAGAACTAACAAAGAGCAAGAATGTGTGACTTGACAATCAGATGTAATAAATCATCCAAAGAGAGTAATGCTGCACCCATTAAAATTCAACTATGCACAGCAGGTCAAAGGAGGAGTTTTCCCAATTTGAGGTGTTTCCTCTGTCAGTGCAGCTCAGAACTCACTCATTGGTGAGAAACATGTTTAGACAGGGGCCTGATCATATTACAGGCCAGTGCAACCCCGAGCCTGTGAGCGCTAGGAGAATACCAGGCGCAGCATTCCACCAGTGGCCTGTCTGGGGGCGGGGGCTGGCCAGAGAGGCTTTGTACAGAGGGGCCATGACGGGCTGCCTGAACTATCACACTGGATCTGTTTGGTCATTGCTTTGTCTGTGGCAGATGGATAAACAAGAAAATTCTCTGGCAAAAACACACCTCACTACAACTAACTGACAGGGGGAAGCTGGACCAATTTGTTTGGCTTAATAGTTTCTGCACAGACTTCATTCATTTTCTGAAATTGCACTGCATTGTTCACACCAAGCAGGAGCATGGTGCCTGCCACCTCTCAACTACACACCAATGAAAGATTTACAGTCATTACTGCAGTAACTTTGCTTCAAAACTGCAACCACTTGATACTAATTCAGCCATAGTGCATGTTATAACTGTTCTGTCCTGTTTATTAGCAGCTCAATGTGTTTGACTCTTGACTGACTGGAAACAAACATGCTGCGGTCTGTGGCAGAATAAGACTGCACCCGTACCCAAGTATCCAAAAAGAAAAAAAAAGGTGTGAAATCTGAAGGGCCAAGACAGAAAATAAATATGGTAATGAAGTCCACAAACTGTCACACATTTTTCATCTCAAGTTACACAGACAATAAAACTCTGCAGCTGATAGTCTGGAAAGAATTGCCTACACCACCATGTCATTGATATTAAGGTAAATTTTAAAAACTTAATAAGTAACAAAAAATCTATACAAGTAATTCTTCTCAATGACTGATAATAAGTCAATATCCATTTTGGGGAAATAACTAACAATGATTTAATGCTGCTGCTTTAAACAAGGGATGTGTAACATGACCTCCAATGCAAAGAGAAAATGTGTCTGGATAACATGGGCAAGCAGGTACAAGTATTCACTGTTCATATCACTTAGCCCAGGAAATTGTTTCTTTTAACCATCATATGACCTACAAACCAGGAAAACATCTAGGAGTGCCATGATATTACCAATATCAAAAACAATAGTAGGGTGGAGACTCTAATGTTCATTTCTGATTAACCATAATACTGAGTGACTCATTCCAAATATATGAAGTGCCCTAAATCAGTTTTCCAGACTTCAAAGTGACATCTTCACATCTTTTTGTCCAACCAACTGCCCCAAAACCCAAAGACATTTCATATATGACCATTTAAGAGGTTGGGACCAGTAAATGTTATGCATGTGATTAGCATATTATGCTGCATCTACTGTAATTTTGCAAATAAGTGTGTTTTTTGCTGCAGACTACATGAATGAAAGCAGAACTGAGGTCTCATTCAGCGCCTGCTGTCAAACGATTGCATCACGTTATCATGACTTACAAACATCAGTCATACGCTGATTAATCATGCGATGACATATCAACATATGTCCAGTTCTAATGACAGGCTGTGGGGACCAGTAACACCACTGTACCTTGTACACGTCTCCATATGTGCCACTTCCCACCCTCTGGATGAGCTCAAAGTCATGCTGAGGGTTTCTCCTCTGGATTTCACCGCTTGGCCGGGGAAAGATATCCATGCTAGCTTGAACCAAACGCTGCTTTACATTTACTTGGCTTGATTAAATCTGAGGCTTGATTAAATCTGATGCTGGTTTGGCGAAGGTCTTGAATAGAAGTTAATCACTGATACTTAGACGGTCGTCCCTACTGCACGTCCTGACAAAGGCACAAGGAAGGTTTTGGAAGAAGGTGTTTTAAAAGTGTAATCGAATACGACACAATAGTAACACAAACTAGAGGGATATTTATGCAAGTAAACAGCAAACCAACAAAAACATGGATGCTGTCACATAGCTGGCCATCTGTCAGGCAACACCAACAACTCTCATTTCTAATTTCTCTTAAATTAATCTTCCAACTACCACTCATAGCAAAGTTTATTAGCCCTAGTATTGAAGTGTGTAAGTAACAAAGCAGCGACCACTAACATAACAATATCTTAGTATGAACACTGTAGTTATTCCAGCAAATAGCCAGAGCCAGGTTACATTACTCTGAATATGATGAGTTACGGGCTTAGCATCAAGCCAGCTAATGCTAACTAGCAAACGTTAACTTGGCTTCGTCGCTGTTTCTAACTTGAACTGTGCCTACCTTTTACAATATAATCACCGTGGACGCGTACGTCTTGCATTATAGATCTTTTCGAGGCCTTCAACTGTACAACAGCGTGGAATAATCGCACTAAAAGAATAGCGATTCCTCTTTGTCATCGAGGAAACTAGTAACGTTAAACTTCGGTTGGCCGCTAAGTGATCACTCCATCTCCTTCAGTGGAATGGCAGCATAGCCAAATTCTGTCCTCGCAAGAATGCCAGCATTAAAATTAGCCGTTGACATGTCATTTCCCTTACGTTGACGAGTTCAGAAAAGCGTCAGTCTCATATGTAGAATATTAACCGTAGACTACACGAATACAGCCAAGAATTACCCTTTAATTTACTATAAAATCACTCTGGAAAAAAGCAAGTCTGTCGCTAATCCCCGTTGAGTCGCAGTTACTGGATTCTGATGGTGCATTCAGGGGCTCCTCGTAAAAGCTATACTCTCAATGAAAAAGCCATACAAAACCAAATGTATGATCCCACGGTTACAATCAAGTAAACAATGAATGAAATCATTAGAATACGTAGTATGTAATAAAGGTAATCACAATTCGATTCGAAACAATTCCCTTGCAGTTCGACTGACTGAGAATACAATATTCATTTGCACAGGTGGAACGTAACTAGCCTAAGTGCATTTATTCAAGTACTGTACTTAAGTAAACATCTGAGTATTTCCACTTCATACTTCGACTTCACCATATTTTTAGATAATTGTTGCACTTTTTTCTAATGTAAAAGTTTATTTTATTTTATATAGAATGATTCTATATAATGTATACTCTTACTTTTGGTACTTTAAGTATGTGTTTATGCTAATAGCTTTGTAGTTTTAGTTAAATAACATTTTGAATGCAGGACTTAAACATTTAAGAGTACTTTTACACTCTAGTATTGTTATTCTTTCACCACTATTTGGGGCCCTGAAAACTTGGTTCCACTATTCCCCTGTTTCTACATCCCTTGTTCCACCACTGCCAGGTATCGACTTTATACTAGTACTGTAGGTAGTGTTTTCATGTAAATATTTACGATAGTACGCGAAGGCAGCATGTGTTCTATTTCCTGTGTAATTACCGCCACCTCCCGACAGCAGCTGGTAATGCATGTAATTAATAATGCGAAAAAATGAATGTGGTTCAGCGTACTTTGGAGTTACAATGAGCACAACCACCGACTATGGCCCTTGCAACTGGCTTCAAGTCTCTATCATTCAGTCAGGTATGTAAATACCGATACTTTACAGTAGGAAGGAGCGACAGGCAGCAGCGCCCCCTGGTGACTGATCCCCTGCATCGCACTAGGAATAAAAGCCCCATCATCCTCCTGCAAATACTGTAGGAACATCGTTTCGCTGTTGATAGGGCATCCTCCCAACCCAGTCACTCATGACTACCGAGTAGGTTCGCTCGTTAACGGACTGAAAGAGGGACATAAGGACAGCATTATGGCGAAGCAGCGTAAAGACAGAGACAGCTGGGGTGAGTGTACGTACAACATTTGATAATTCATGCTTTCCTTGACGCACATATATTTTGTATTCCTGTCGAGGCTAGGGTGTAAGTAATGCAATCAATTAGACGTTTGTTTTAAACTCCACGATGAAGCTCTTGTTTTCGTTTCCACAAAAGTGTGACCAGTGTGTATTTATTTAGAATATGATCAAATCTACTGGCAATAAGAAATAGGCCTACACGCACGGTGCTTGTGTTTTTCATTGAAGAATATCGGTCAATCAGATTTATATAGGCCTTATTTTAGCCTATAAATATGTTTATACCCAAAATGTTTTCAATAGCAACCAGGAAATGCCCTTTTAATTCTCAGACCACAAAAGGCCTGAGAATAACCTTGTGCTATTATTTTGTTTATCACCGTGACCCTCTGTGGTGCATCTGGTATGACATTATGTAATATTGCATCAGTAAGTAGCTTGTCATCACCATCATCTTTACCCTAACCCTCACTGCTATCATCATTATCACCGCAATGATTATGATGATAACCAGCATCCTAATTGTCACTGACATCAGTCTATGGCCCATGTTATTTTAAATAGCGGCCTGCAAGGGAGGTAAAGGATAATGAGTGTAATAGGAGCAAGGAAAAGGGGGAAATGTTTGTCATTATAGAGTTTATCAGGTCTGACCCACTTTAAGCAGGCTGGGCCTCTGAGGTCTTTGACTGTTTTAAGATCAGGAGCAATAGCTTCATGCTGGGCTCGGTCTGGGTGAGGCCATTGCAGGAGATGTGAAGTCAGTCCTCTTCAAGGCTGAGAGGAAACCTTGGAGGAAGTCTTCCTTCTTTAATTATTCACCACACGTTCTTTGCACCCTGCATTAATGTTTTAGCATGTTCCCATATTTTGTCACTGTGCCTCCGTGAGACCTGCAATTACATCCTCAAAATCAGACTGAACTATGTGTGTCAGAGTATTTTCTTGTTTTTCATAATAGTCCTACCTATCCTGTGCTTTGCAGAACTTGCCTGGTCTAACCCACGTTTGTAGTAGCTTAAAGCACACATTACAAGAATGGCATGTGGGGAACCTCTGCATCAGGATGGTGATACAGCCTGCATAACACCACATGAGACAACAGAGATTGGAAGCACACTGAGTCACTGCTTGGAAAGCTTTGGAAAAGTTCTGAATGCACATGAGCTCAATGTATAGAAACAGATGAGATTGATAGCATGGCATGATTCAGTATTATTATTACTAACAAACGTGCTGGGTGACATTACTGATCTGGTGCAAACAGGAAGCAATAATGGTCTAACTTTCCTGTTTCCTCACCTGATGGACCACTGACTTTGCTTATCATCACTGTGAAGAAGTTCTAGTTGGTCACTCGCTCACAAAATTACATTTTAGTTGACTTTCAACTGGTAATTACAAGTAATTATGTAGAAAAATCCACTTGTCAACAACATTTCTCAGAATGCCAATGTTATTTGCTGCATATAAAATATGTTTAGTTGAAGCTAATTCTCGCTTCTTCTACAGAGCACTGCTACATTTCTGTGAATCTTTCCCCCTCTGATGTGTCCTCCAGGGTCCCTCAGTGACAAAAACATCTATGACTGGAGCTCAGAGGAGGAAGAGCCAGATGGACGAGCCCGGCCTGTCCAGGTGCTGCTGGTCAAAGACGACCACACCTTCGAGCTGGATGAGGCAGCACTGAGCCGCATCTTGCTGGCAGAGGAGGTCAGGGACCGCGAGGTGGTGGCCATCTCTGTGGCCGGTGCCTTCCGCAAGGGGAAGTCCTTCCTCATGGACTTCATGCTGCGTTATATGTACAACCATGTAAGTATCTAGGTCTGTGCATCCTGTAGAAGGTAGTGGGAAAGGCGGGGTGGGTGGACCCAATCAGAACTGACACTGGGTGAGAGCCGGGGTACACCCTGGTCAGGTCGCCAGTTTGTCACAGGGCTGACACTCACAGTCACACCTACAGGCAACAGTCATCAGTTACCCTAAGCCTTGTGTCTACGGACTGTGGGAGGGAGCCAGAGTACTGGGAGGAGACTCACGCAGGCACAGGGAGAACATGCAAAGTGCACAGAGAAAGGTCGGCCGCGAGGTTCAAGCCCGGGACCTTTTTGCTGTGAGGTGACGCTGTTAACCGCTGCTCCAGCCACCTCCTGTACAAGTGATGGAGTAGAGATTTCAATATACAGTGTATCTTTATCCCCGCTTTGTTACAAAGAAAAAAGAAAAAGAGTAGTTTGACTTTTTGCTTTTATGGCTTAACAAGACTTTTGTCCTACTGAATCTAATATTTTGCTGATATTCTAATTTCATGTGCAAGATAATATTCATTCTTCTTTCATAGAAATTCAGTCTATTCAGAGTAGAAAAGCCTGTGATTCTGCTTAATATTGGGCATTTAAAAACCAAACTTAAAATCACTGCTTAACTGCATTTATTGTAGTTTTATTAGTGAAGGCATATTGAAAAGGATGACAAGAAAATGACAGGATGCAGGACATAAACAATCGATTAACAACAATAGAATAGGTAAATAAATAAAGGAAATTAGCAAATGTTTCTAAGAAACTTGGTCTAGACCCCATGTAGGTGTATGAACGCATACAGTCCTACACATACATTTTGTTTATATCAGTTAATGTACAGTATACATGAAAGTGTAAGCTCCCTAACAATATATGTTTCATTTATGAAATTAGATAAAGTGCCAATGTGGGTATTGGTGCAATCGTTTTTTTTTTTGTTTGTTTTTTTGCAGTACACATACTTACCAGTATCTAATATGTAATTAATAACAACATAAGATGAAGTAACCTCTGATCTCACGATGCTCAGGCATCTGAAGACTGGCTTGGGGTTGCAGACGAGCCTCTGACTGGCTTCTCCTGGAGGGGGGGCTCAGAGAGGGAGACCACCGGGATCCAGATCTGGAGCGAGGTTTTCCTGGTGGACAAGCCAGATGGAAGAAAGGTGAAGCCTGTTAAGTTTTCTCTAGCTGAGCAGAATAGGTAATTACAGTGGAACACTGACATGATTCAGTATGGCACAGTGTGCTCAGATAATCTTTCCCCCATTGGTTTAAACTGTCTCTTGTTTTATTAATCAGCAGGCAACAGATTACATTTTAAAAACTCCTTTCTATTCATGTATGTTGTTTGGATTTGAATCCTTCACATTATTACATGTCACTTTACTCAGCACAATAGAGGCATGAGGAACACAGAGACCACCTTGCCGTACAGGTCAGTGTTTTCATCCGTGTCATTACACAGGTTGCGGTGTTACTGATGGACACACAGGGCACATTTGACAGCCAGTCGACACTGAGGGATTCAGCCACTGTGTTCGCTCTCAGCACCATGATAAGCTCCATGCAGGTACAGTGAGTTTAACCCACCTCACCCAGCTTTACTTTAGTAAAGACTGTGCATATGTATGTGAATGCCTGAGTAGGAATGATGAACATATCTTAGCCTTAGCTGTGCTAGCGTTGGGTCTTTATGTCAATCCTGTTGGTTGCTGCATTACTTTGGTCCTGACTGAACTATCAACTAGGATGGACTGCCATAAAACGTGGCCCTCATATTCCTGTTCCCCCCAGGATGAAGTGTTTACTGCTAATTTAACATGATCTCTGCTTAACATAAACATGTTAGCATGCAGATATTAGCATTTATCTCAAAGCTTTGCTGTAGATCCTCACAGAAGCTGATAGCTCGGCTGTAAACTCGTTTGTTCTTTGAATGTTATGTTCCTTCGTTTCCAAACATCAAAATACTTGTATTCAGTAGTCTTATACTGTGTACGTCTCTTTGGAAATGCTTTAAAGAAATGACACTGTAAATGAACTGTCTTTTTCAGGTTTACAACATCTCACAGAATGTACAAGAGGACGACCTGCAGCACCTGCAGGTAACACTGCTAAGTGTCAACACTAATGCATACCTGAAAACTTAAAGAGCAAAGTCCAGATTTGAAGCCCAGTTTTCAGCCAGAAGTGTCAAGTATTTGGTTATAGGGTTTATATTGGAAACATAACCCACCAGTTGTAATTAATTAACATTCACATGTATTCAAATTCTGCATCCATGTGCTCCCACAGACCATCCTAGTGGCACAAGCCTGTCGATCACTCATAAAAAGAGTCCGTCTTGTTTTATTTCAGCTTTTCACTGAGTATGGCAGACTTGCAATGGAGGAGACTTTCCTCAAACCATTCCAGGTACTACATGTTACTTACTCTCACTGCACGTGTTGATTAAATAGATGACAGTTACAAATGACTGGTAATAATTCTTTTAAGCAGATTGTGATGAGGGTTTGTTATAAATGGCAATTTAATGTTAAGTTAAGGGTTTGAACAGCTGCTATGAAAGAGACCATCATTTACAGAACTAAATATTATTAACAAGTGTCATAACGTACACTTCTCCTTCTCGTAGTCCATGATTTTCCTTGTTCGAGACTGGAGCTTTCCATACGAGTTTTCCTATGGTCAGGAAGGAGGCATGAAGTTCCTCGAGAAGAGACTGAAGGTCAGTTGTTACTGATGTTAGCGAGGTTCAGACTTTCAGGCTCCTCTGTAGCCACAAGATTAATGTCTCACTGGTTGTGTTTGTGGTTCAGATCTCTGAGAACCAGCACGAAGAGCTGCAGAATGTGCGGAAACACATCCACTCCTGCTTCACCAACATCTCCTGTTTCCTGATGCCTCACCCCGGCCTCAAAGTGGCCACTAACCCAAACTTTGACGGAAGAATTAAAGGTACACTTCAGCCATCTCTTTGCTTATTGCTTTGAAATGTAATGGTTTAAATGGCAAAAAGACTAAGTTCATGATCAGAATGGAACATTTGGGCCCCTTTGGAGGCTAAATAAGAATCTAATCTTTTGGCAAACTATGTTTTCTTTTTAATGGCTTTTGTATTTTGTAAAATGAAATATTAGAAGTTCTGACACAGGCAAACTACACTTTCACATAAAGAAAATGTGAATTGATGGGTTACATTGGTGATTCACATTAAACATAAAGAAGAGGATTGACAGACTATGTTCAGTAAGGGTTAATTCATTATTTATAATGCTAACTAAAATGTATTAAAACCTGTAATGTGTTAAAAACTAATAGAAACCTAATACATTTTACAGTACTGCACAGTGTGGGTCTGTTTTAGAGCCCCCTGGTAAAATATAAAAGGCATACATACTTAAACAATGCTGCCTGACTTCTAACAGGTATAAATGTGTAACTAGACAGCCAGTGCAGAGTTCAGCACTTACAAATTGTACAGGAGCAGGTGGTGCGCTGCAGCTTTTGCCACAGTAGCTGTGCTACCACCGGTAAACTTCAGCACATACTCACCAGCAGCTGCCTCTCCGCCCTGTCTAGAAATTGATGGCGAGTTCATAAACAACCTGAAGGTTTTGGTCCCCTGGCTCCTCAGCCCTCATAATATCGATGTAAAGGAGATCAACGGCAGCAAAATCACCTGCAGAGGCCTGGTGGAGTACTTTAAGGTCAGAGCGAAGGACCATGTTGCTAATGAAATGCACTAGCCTGCTTTAAGCACTTAATGTGTATCTTGTTTTGCCACGTTATAAAATCAGACTTCTGCTGCTAAACACTATGATACTAATTATCAAGTGACATATTTCTTATTCTGCCCCCGCAGACTGGATATAAAGTCATATATTGTCCTTTTACTGAACTGTACTCTTCCTGATTTTTGTCTTCACTGTTTAATCCAGGCTTACATCAAAATCTACCAAGGTGAGGAGCTGCCTCATCCAAAGTCCATGCTGCAGGTAGATGCTTTGTTATTGTTTTGCTAATGTAGAGGATTGTATTTAAGAAAACTTTTCCATATTGCACCAATTTAAATATCTTCATGCACATAACGTAATGCGCTCATTAAGGTTGTCACATCAGTTGCTTTTAAAGGTGCTGGGATCAAAACTGAAATCATGAGGTGACAGGGCTGTAGCAGCTCCGAGACTATGGAAGTCTAGGAGAAGAAGTGATTTTTTTCTAAAAAAAAATCAACACTATGTTTTCTTGTTCTTGCTCTTAGGCCACAGCAGAGGCAAATAACTTGGCAGCAGTCGCAGCTGCAAAGGATCTGTACAACAAAAAAATGGAGGAGGTAGGTAAAAGCATAAACAGGATTTTCAAGTAAATAAATCCCAGACTGATCACCAGCTGTATGATCCTTCCTTACTGGTCCTCTCTGTTCTGTCCCCAGATCTGTGGTGGCGATCGGCCCTTCCTGGCCCCCAACGAGCTGCAGGCCCGGCACGGCGTCATCAGAGAGGAGGCCCTGCAGGTGTTTCGGGGTGTGAAGAAGATGGGGGGCGAAGAGTTCAGCCGGCGTTACCTGCAGCAGCTGGAGGGGGAGATCGACGAGGTCTTTGTCCAGTACATCAAGCACAATGACTCCAAGAACATTTTCCACGCTGCCCGCACGCCGGCCACCCTGTTCGTGGTCATCTTTGTCATGTACGTGGCTGCGGGCATCACGGGCTTTGTGGGTGTGGACATCATTGCCAGCTTGTGTAACATGATCCTGGGTCTGGCATTGATCACTCTCTGCACCTGGGCCTACATCCGGTACTCCGGGGAATACCGAGAACTTGGCGCCGTCATCGACCAGGTGGCTGGTGCACTGTGGGACCAGGTAAAAGAAGAAAACGTAAACTTGACTGAAGTCAAAAACAAATCTGGCTGTCTAACTTCACCAGTATTTGAATCTGTACTCACCAAGTTTAGTTCATGAATAATGCAAGAATCTTCACACACCTTACAAAAACGTGCCCAAACTGATGCACATCTAACCAAACACAGCAGACAGTTTAAATTACATATTGATCACCAGCGCACAACTAAAAGAGCTGCAGAAAAGAGAGAAGAGAGGGGAAATCACTTTAAACTGTCAGCACTTACAGAGCACAATGATGTTCAGGGATTAGAGTGCAAAAGGTGATTTTTTAAAAATAGTTTCTGGTGTTCGATGGCAGCTAAAAGAAAAGACATCAAATTGTATCATTGACATCTGGTTTGGACTCAGTCTGCTGCATGTACAGCCAAATAAAAACCCAGGATTTGTTGGTTGGACAAAACAAGGCATTTGAAGACTTCACATTTGACTCTGGAAGGGCTAAATTCTGACTCATTTATTAAGGATTTTCTTTTTGTCACCCATCTTTATGTTAGTAATTTAAAGCACTTGTCAACCACTAGAGGGCAACAATCTCCTTTAAATCACAAACAGAAAATCCATCCCAGCTCAGATCCATTACAAAATGCTGTTATTGAACTATATATATATTTGTTTGTATTTGTGCTCACATGATGTATTTTCTGTTTTTAATGCATCTGCAGGGGAGCACAAATGAGGTAAGTGCAGCAATCAAAGTGGCAATATTTATTTACTAAGGCATGGATTCCAAAGAGCAGCTTTGAGTTTTATAGTAATAGGAAATTGGACTCCACACTTACTGTGTATCAGCTGCTTTGTGCTGAGTTAACTGGGAGGACAAAAGGCACCACTGAGGCACAGTACTGGCCTGATTATGGCCCTTGAGGTCGGTCCTGTTTTATTAGCTGATCTTGAGGTTCTGACATTTAAAGAAAGTCCCTTCGCTGTGTGTGAAGGACTTCTTTAGTGCTTCATATTTATAAGTGAATGTACATCTTCAAATTACTTCAAATCTGAGCTCATGTAATATTCTACCACAAAACATTTTAGAGGTGTGATTTTGACTGTGGACTGGAGAAGAGAAAACATTCTCTCACTGTCCACCCACTGTAGATGAGAGAACTTCTGCATTCATAAAAATGTTTGCACACTCATCTGAGTGTCATCAGTTTTTACTATGTGCTCACAGCAAGTGCTTTTTGCCCTTGGTTTTGCCTCTCAGGCTACGTAAAGGTTGCTACTGGGGCTCTATGCAGCCTGAAAGGAACACCTGCCTACACTACTGGCAAAAACATTTAGATTTGAAATCAAACATACACCCTTGGAAAAACTTTACACATTGCACAGTGGGAGCAGGGAGAGCTAACAGGGGCCCCCTGCACTGCAGTTTTGCCTTCACCCATCCACATAGCTGAACTGTATCACTGTCACGACACTTTCTTTAGCCACCTTGAGGAGTTACATTTCCTCCCTCTCACCACCACACCTGTCTCTGCTCCACAGGCTCTCTACAAGCTGTATAATGTAGCAGCCAATCACAGGCACCTGTACCACCACGCCTTCCCCGGGCCTCAGGTGGAGGAGGCTGCAGGGGAGCAGGGCAAGAAGAGAGAATGATTAGATAAGACGGGACACAGCAGGGACTTCCTGGTGATGGACAGGGGGAGGAGGGAGGAGGAACATCCTCACCCATCGGGCACTCTTCTATTCTGGTACTGGCCGGTGCCGCCCACCAGTACATTCACTCCTTTAAACCTAATAGTGGACTGTTCATGTTTAGGCAATGTCAGAGCATCTCTTGCCGATGAACATCATGACTCGTCATGACTTGTTTTTCACTTCTTGTCCGTTAAAACACCTGTACAGATGCTGTAGGCAGGGGAGGCCTCGGCATATCCAACCTCCAGTCAGCTGCTCATCTCATATCAGATGGGTTTTCTCATCATTTGTCACTGATGATGATTTTCAGTGTAGCCAAATCTGTGAAATCCCCATTTGTGACGATTGTTCTGTTCTTTGAAGTTTTGTGCTGTTTATAAGAAACAATATCTATGATCTGTGATGTTTGAAAGCCAAAATATGTACTCTATGTAAAATAATGAAGCGTTACAAGCAGCATCAGTTTGGTAAATGGTTAATGTCTGTCATCCTTAAGCTCTGCAACCAGCCATACTTGATAAAAAAAATGTTTTAATGGTTGTGACAAAGTGGTTTGGTGCCATAACCTGAGGTTTTAAAATCCCATTTTTTTTCAACATCTGCCCTAGCCTAGCTACATGCACACACTTAATGGCACATTTATGGGTTTAAGTCTTTTGTTTTGGAGGTTGGTGTTACTTCTGACAGAGTCCTAGATCAGGGAAGTAGCTTTTTGCTGGCCTGAAACAGCAGCACTGGGTGGACAGACACAAACACAGTAGCAACAGTTTAAAGTTTACACAACACAGCTGACATTGTTTGTCACTTTATAGCCCGCTCGCAGTTTTGTATTTACTACCTGGTGATCTGCTGTGTGTGTTTGGAGGTCGAGGGGAAATAGTGTGTTCAGCTCCCATTGTAACATAGAGGCGGCGAGTGCAGCCATTGTTGTTTCTCACTGAATGTTCGAGCAAATCCGAGGAATGTAGCTATTCTGCAGCCACCGAGAAAGCAAAGCTCGATGCTATTAGGCGGGGCGACAGGCCTGCTTTGGAAAAGGATCCTCATTCCACATCTCTTTCATCATCTTCACACACTTATGTTGAATCATCTGTGGAAAGACTGTTGCATGGTGAAAGAGTCCAGGCCCTGTCTTTTTGTGTTTCCAAAACAGCTTGCATTTGTAAACAAAAGGCTTGTATCAGTGACAGCACTGTTCGATGTTCGAATACTTTGGCTTTGTAGACTGCTACTGCACATTTGTATAACTGTGGTTATTGTTTTTAGCTTGGTGAATAATCCAGAATCACATCCAGCTGCAGCAACAACAAGGTTTTCCCCCTCTAAGATCTGGTCACCAACGGGACAAGAACTCTGTCATGCATATTTAGCAAAGTTCATACTGAGGTCTGAACTCAAGGGTTGAACATTTAAAGGCACCGCAAGAGTGTGGCTTCTTCTCAGTCTTCCACAATGTATAATCAACATCATGGAGGCCTTCACACACAGACAACCATCCAAGTCCAGTTTGAGATTCGTGAGGCTTTAAAATCCCATTTTTTCCATCATGTTGAAGTGCTACGCCCAATTATAAATCAGAAAAGAAGCATTTGTTTGCAATGTGTTAGCATTACACTCATGAATCATCATGAACTGAAGATAGTGTCCGTTAGCGAGGAGGGGAAAAAGCATGCTTTTCTTGGAGTTAACGATTCATTCCTAAAGCTGCCAACACTTAAATCAACACTGGATGTGGTGGGAGCCTCTGTGTACTGATGGGTCAAATGAATCAACCTCTGGGCGAGCTGCTCCAAGCGCTAAGTTTCCGCACACGCATTGCAACATTTCAGTTACAAAGAGATAAATAATAAAGTTGGACCAAATTAAACTAGACTTGAGTCATTTCTTTAAAGATTCCTCTCAGATAATGTGTCTGATACCGTTTCCTCCGCCATTTATTAAAAATGTGTAAAATTACTCTTTCTTCCTTGTTGAAAAATCCAGTTGATGAATATACAACCATTTTTCCATTTCAAAAGTTTAACTGCTAGATACAAGATGTCTCCTACTTCCCTGAGAAGTCCGCTCTGCAGTTTCCTCATCACATTACTGAGAGCTTTTTGGCTTCAATCAACTCCTGAGGGAAATATTTGGCTCTTTATCTCCTAAATGCTCCCGTGTTCACCAGCTAGTCTCTAGGAACTGTTTGCCAGTCGGTGCTGTACTGTCGCTTTTTAGTTTGGTGTGGACGAAAACGACACCATCAGAGAAATGAGAGTGAACTAAATTAGTAAAGCTGCAAGCTGGGGCAAGCAGCTGTGCGGTGTTCTCCATTACAGACAACGAGGCAAAGAAGATTTGAGATTTAATATTTAACCAGTGTTTTCAAACACCATTTCTGGTTTTATAAGACTTCAAGCAGTATAGTAGCTGGTTTGGCAAGTATATAAGGATAATTGTCCAACCCTTTAACAGTGTCACTGACATTTCAAAAATATACAGTTGCTTTAATTTGTCTCAATTTACATCTGTTAAAAACTCAACGTAAAAGTAATGAAATGACTGAAAGGTCCCAAGTGTATTTTAATTCACTGTAGACTTTATTGCTTATGTCTTGTATATTCAATCCACAAAGTTAAATATGTACAAAACGACACTGAAGAGGAGAGACTGAGACCTGGCACAGTGAAGGACTCGCCAAAGAGAAAGCAAAGGTTACTTTACACCCTTCTAGGACATGCAGAAGTGTATGAATTTTCAATTACTCTTACATAAGAGTCCAATAAACCACTTGTATTTTCCTTGCTGTAAAATAGCCTCATGGCATTATTTTTTACATGATAGTGTTAGTTTTCCTATATTTTGTCTGTAGACAAAACAACCTCCGAGTGTAAGACGTTTATGAATATCTTTAACAGGCTTCATTTTAGTTTTTAATTTGGTTGTCAATAAAATATGCTTCGAGGAAGCTGCACTTCCACTGAATCACAAAGGAGACGCGTCAGTCTGTAACGATAAGGCATTACCAAAGCAAGAAATGTTCAGAAAATGAAACAAGAAGAAACTGAATTGCACTTGCTGGGAAAACTTAACATGTCTTCTGAAGTGTTTTAAAAAGTTCCAGTAGCTTATTTATGTTTCATCACACACACACACACACACACACACACACACACACACACACACACACACACACACACACACACAAAGATTCCTGACTTACAGTAATGCCAAGAGCCAAAGGATGCTCAAACCACTGCATCAAATGTGATGCTTCATCCATCAAAGGTCTTTAAATAAAGACAGTTCATATCAAAACTTAAATATCTGGTAAAGTTTTGGTATACAGTAGGTCATAAAAAGAGAACAATCCCACACCTTTTTTAATATAAAAGTGTGTGGTTTCAGTTTATGAGGGTACCAAAGCAAAGGAAAAAACGGTCATGAAGTATTTCATACAGGAACAAATTAGAAGCAGCTGCCTGTCATTTTCTCCCACAGGAAAAAATGACAGAGGAGCTGTTGTATACACAATATGAGCAGACACTGTAAAAAACGCTGTTGTGTTTACTGAAAGGCACAATCTCTAACTCGGTCCTCCTCAGTCTAAAAAAAAAGAGAACTTACAGCAACAGTTCTTAGGGCAGTGGCTGTAAATGGCACCAGGGGCAGTTTCCCAAGATGTGGCACGCTATAGGTTATTTTCTTCATTGGAGTGTCGTTCAGTCACATGGTCTTTCATAAACTGGAGTGTCACATGGGGAAAAAGGACCCCGCGTCAATGTCGTCTTCCTGGCTGATATATTTGGATCAAGCGAAGGCACAGATGTGGCTGGGAAAGAGGCAATTAAGAGTCCATCATGATTTCAAAGGAAACTGTGACCACTCCCAAACTGTGCAGACCTCAGGGAGGCATGGCTGCTGCACATGCACATCACATGTTCCCCATAAAATTCTTGGTGGACTGCTGGGTGTACCACTGCTGCCGCTGTTTGCGAGCCTCCACCTCGGACAGCAGCGCCTGCCGGTACGCCTCGTAGGATTTGACAATGTGTTCCAGCTCCTTCATGAAGAGCAGCTTCAGCATGCCCTGATACGTGTCCAAGTCTGCCAGCTGGAACAACTCCCACTTCAAGATGTGGTCATACCTGATGTAAAAGAAAAAGATACCCACTGTAAATTACAGACGGGTGATAGAGGAAACCTAGCATAAAGCATCTCATTTGGACCACATCATGCCACCAGAACAGCTTCAGTGCACGTTGGCAGTGATTCTACAAGTCTCTGAACTCTACTGGAGGGATGAAAGTCATTCTTCATAAAGATATTCCCTCATCTGGTGTTTTGATGATGGTGGTAGAGAGTGCTCTCAAATGCCGGCCTTACACCAAACGACTTCTCAAGCAATTTCTAGTTGCAGACAAACGTCACAATAAAATCATGAAAATTCTGCTAGTCATGTTGTGCTCGTGTCATCTCAGTAGTTTGGTGTAAGGAGGTGATACAAGCTGTATTAAGTCACTTTTTTGGTCTTGATTTTCCAGTACAATCAACCATCATCAAAAGTCTTTGCTTGCATAAGCCAAGACTAGTGACGTGAACATCGTAAACAACCAACAGGTGAAGAAAAAAGGTGCTTGCTGTCCCCTTTTAGTCAACGTGGGTTGGCGATGCCTTCTCTTTTCCTTCTTGGCTGTTTTTTCTATGCAAAACAATGCCAACACAAGTGCAGCTGTAGGCAAAAGGCTGCTTGTGTTCCTGCTCTATTTTTCAATTCTTTCTTCTTGTAACTTCCCACCAGGAGCATGATGGGAAATAGTCATGACAAACTTGATGTGACTAATGACACATTGATTTTAGATGCGAGAGCGTTTCAGACGTTGGTCTTTTAAAAGTAATATTATAGTCTGCTGGTGTACGGCCAGCATGACACGTCACTCCAAAATCTCCCATAGGTGTTCTACTGGGTTGAGATCTGCTGACTGTGAAGGCCACAGCTTATGCTTCACATAACTATCGTACTCATCATTTCAGTGAACCCTCGTGCCCTGTGCACGGGGGCACCGTCATCCTGGAGGATACCACTCACTGACTCTGGGTTTTCCTTGAATTTGTCACAAGTCTGTATCAGTACCGTGTGGAGTTAGTGTAGTATTTGTTGGGTTTTCCCTATGTAATCTGTGGAGTTTGTGTAGTATTTGTTGGGTTTTCCTTATGTAATAATATTGATAACAGTAAGGTCTAGACCTGACTTTGTAAAGTGTCCTGAGATGACTTTTGTTGTGATTTGGCGCTATACAAATAAAATTTGATTTGACTTGATTAGTATTTGCCCTGCACAACGTTTTTATGACAGATCCCTTTATTAGACTTTTTCCCAAGCGTAGGTCAAGTGGCTAGGACAAGAGCAGAGCTGTTCACATATTTGTATGCGCAGGATTAAAATAAACTTCCTGTATATCCACTAGAGGGAAGCTAATGGATAAATCATCCATGGTCTATTATAAAACATATTCATCGTAACATCATAAACATAATTAAATACTTAAGTAGATTGCTATATCATTAATGTTACGATTAGAGCTGAATCAAGATTCAGTTTAGTCTTTTGTATCTTTTACTATTATGTTGTAGTTCTGCCACATTTTTTAATTAATTTGTTTATTACTATACTTTTATTTAATACCAATTTATCTTTGCTCAGAAACATGTCTGCATTCATAGTACTCACTTTAGTGGTGCGCGGGCGTACACCTGCAGCCAGTCTGGGATCTCGGCTGTGTGGTACGGGTTAGCTGGCACCAGCATCGGCTGGTTCCTCTCCGCAGGACGTGGCTGATAGGTCACAGGAGGCGGCAGTGGTGGGGGCTGATCATAACGAGGCACACTGGAAAAGACACACACAATGTAGTACTGTGCCTACAGAATTAACAGGTGAAGTATAAAATAACTCAATTTAACACAGAACCCTCCAGTTTTCAGCAGCTCACCTTGGAGCACACGGGTGACGATACTGTGCCCTCTTGTTGATGTGATCCACATAGTAGACCCCAAACTCGGCTGATTCCACCCTCTCCCAGCCAGGAGGGAGCCCCTCCCTCTCCAGAGGGTGGCTCCAGTGTGTAGTGTTAGTGTTGTGGTCGATGTAGTACTTCCTGCCACGGATGGTCCAGTCAACAGTCCAGCCAGCTGGAAGTGGGAGGTCCTCTCCTGTTAGGCTGGACAGGTTCCCCAGGGACTTAGCCTGTATTCGACCTATGCCTGAGGAAAACAAACATTTCTTTTTAGAAACCTAGAGGGAGAGGCAGGACGTCTGAACAAACACGCAGCAGAGCAGCTGCCAGCTAAATGTGCCTCTGGGAAAGATGAAATAGTTTGGGTAATCTTTTTAAAAACACTTTGTGTGGGAAAATGTCATTTAAAGCAGAAATGTAGAGAATTTAAAAGGTCATTCTGATGTGGCAACTGAACATACAGCAGGATAAGAGAGGAATGCAATGAATCACCACTTAAAGCATGACTGATGCCGTTTTAAGTACAGCAGAGATTGTGACAGGGTTGCTTAATCTCTCAGACTCTGACTGTTGTGAGGGCGCATCTTGGGCCATGTTCACATTACAGGACTTAATGCTTAATTCTCTTTTCATCAGATCAGACTTTTTTGTGTTCATGGTTCACATTTGTAAATGGCTCCAGTGTGAACACTGCTGAGGCCCTAAACTGTCAAGCATGTGCACGGTTAATTGAAATGCGAGCCACACGCATACAAGAATTTATGTGACGTCAAATCGCTCATTTTTCTCAAAAACTGTTACATGTTCCTTTGGCTTGATCATAAGCTTCTCCATAAGTCTCCAACAAGTGTAAAACGTCCTCAGCTCTCCACTGACCCTCATGGCTGCTATTTTGCACGGAGATGTTTGTTTATAGCTTATACTTCGACGTTCTAGCTTTTCTTCTTTCCCTTTCTGAAAGGTGAATAAAGACACCGCCACCTGCTGGCAGGGGGAGTTATTTTTGTCATGCAGGTACAGACCATATGTGCTAGTCAGCCCTTAACTGTCCTCTGTGTGGTGTATTCAAGTGCCGCTTTTTCAACCTGATTGATCCAGACAAAGACGACTTGATGTGATGCAGAGGTTGGCCTTCGTTGCTGCTAGTTCTTTCATGTCAGCTTGATGACAGCAGAGTGGGGTCATTCAACAGGTTTTATTAGCGAATAAATTCAGCATGGAATGTCAAGTCAACAGCTACGTAGATGAGTTACACAGAGAAGTATTACGGCTTTAAACAAGCATCTGAAAACACAGGAGAATGTGTGGTTGTCTCAATAAAATGGCAGCCGCAGTCTGAGAAATTCTGCACAATAAAGGCGGCAAAAGAGCTGGAGCACTTAGCCAGCTGCTGAATGAGGGGATGGAATGTGCTCCACAGAAATGCACTCCTCCTCCACCACCACCACATCATCATCATCATCATCATCGTCGCTGCCCTTTTCTCCAGGAAAATGGCAGAGAGCCATCCTCGCTGCAGACCCAAACCTGAATGCATCACAGGAATTTCACTGGATACAGTCAGGAATATTTTCAAGTAGTGATGAGGTAGTTGATCTAAAGGCATAAAATAGTCACTTCACGACATCTAGTTAGTCTTCACTACAAGCAAAAATCACCAACTATCAAATTCTGACAAGAAATCCCTATAATATAATACAGATTTAGATTTTTACTATTTCCTGAAAAACGCACAGATTTGTTTTTCAAAGGACAAGATAAATTTTGATTGATTTTTTTAACTTAAACTTTACCTAAGTTCAAATGTTCGTGTCTTCTGCAAAAATAGATGATTTTTCCAATTGTGTATGTTTGTAGGCAATGCTCATACGCAAGTAATAAAACTTTGATGTCTGCACTGCAAACTGTAGCTTGTACCCAACTTTGACAGATTTATGCCAATGTTCACCTTTTGTCAATTCAAAATAAGCCAGGAATTAGGAAATAAATTAAAGAACCCTAAAGTTGTATATGCTAGAAAAAAAAGATTTAAACAGCTATTTTTGATACTATTGTAAAAATGACATTTTTATAGTACAAACATAAGCTGCTTATAAAGGAAGATTCTGCCAAGTTTAGGGGGAGTGACTGCTCCAAAACATTCCAAATTACCACGCATTAGTCTTTGAGTAATGTGAACATACACAGGGCAGAACCTAAACTCAAGATGATTCATAGCAGTGAGCAATTTGAGGCCGAGATATTTGACTGGAGGCGGTCTGTAAATTACAAGTTTGGCAGCAGATAGATTCAGCAAACAGAGGTGAACAGTGCTGAGCCTCTAATACCTGTTTAACTTCACTTCAAACAAACCTCCATGATGTGATGGGCAGGCCTGACATAATACTAAACCTTATCTGTGACTCTGAGAAGTCAGCCACAATATAAAACGTGCTCTCATTTGGGGTGGGTTGAAACATTCTTGCGAGCCCCTAAACATTTAATTTCATGGAAATTACACATTTACATCACACTGTTTACAATGTAGACCAATAAGAAAACTGAAATAAGTCTTTTTTGGAGCTGTTTCGAGCTTACAATCCTTTCAGAGTAGCCCACGCGGTCCAAAACCCGTTCATAATACTCTGCCATTTCAAAACAGCAATCAGAAATATCAGAAATGCTGTAGACTGGGGAAATTTCACTCATCCTCAAATAAGACAAAGTTATAAAGAGACTAATTTAAGTTTAGAGACCGTGTACTAGATAATTTGCAGTGTATGCAGTTAAAGCATGCAACTCTCTTATTTCCAGTACCTTCTCACTGTCCCTTGATTACTTAAAAAACAAAATCTCATCCAAAACTCTAAAAAGTGAGAAGCAAAACACATCGTACCTGAAGGTGGTCTGCTTGGAGCTGGGGGAGTGTGTTGTCGAGGAAGTCTTTGGAAGTTGTGTTCATTATGTTCATAGTATCTATAGTCCTCAGGAAAGCGGTCTGGGACCCTCCTTGGCTGGCGCTGCTGTTGTTGTTGGTGCTGCTGGTTGTCATAGTAAGGATCAGAGGGGTAATAATACCGGGCAGCGTCTCCATTCTCAGACAAGGGGCTCACATCTGTGAGGAAGGACTGTGAGGAGCCTCGGTACTCATGGGGCAGCTCTCCCAGACTGCGAGGCAGGTATGGAGGTGCTGACATGCGGTTGCTCTCTCTGCGGGCCACCTCATGAGGAGGTCTCTGCACAGGTGTACGGAGGAAACTCTTGTTGCGGGACACTGCAGGCTCCCGGCTGGGTGCCACAGGGTAGGCAGAGGGCCCCATCTCTGGCAGAGGGACCTCTGTACGTCTGGGAATAGTGGGTCCATGGCGGATAAATGATGGCATAAGATCTGCAACCACATGAACACAATAAGTGCAACTCAGTAGAAGTTCCAACAGGCAGCTCAGTTATGTAACTAAGTAAATGTACTCAAGTACTATGCTTGCAAACACTTCGAAGGTACTGTAATTTTACTTGAGTATTTTCCATACTCAACTATATTTTAGTGCAAGATATCGCCACCGTCTGTGTAATGAATACTTTACTTGATACATTTGTTTATTTAACTAATAGTACTTTTACATTTTTACTTGAATAATAATTTTAATACAGGACCTCTACTTGTAACAGCACAATACAGCCACTGCAATATAAGTGACGTTCTAAGTGCTCATAATACTTCTTCACACACTCCTAATAACTACTCAGTACTAATAGGGGAAACGTTAACGATATAACGGAACTGTAAGTCAGTCAACGAAAAGACTTTTTTCTTACTAATATGCTATTTAACACCGGACTGTCCACAGCAGATGACGACACTCATTCACTTTGTACCAATGCACATTAATTAGATATTAATCAAACTTTTTAGTAAACCACTCCGCTGAAAATGGTGTCAGGACACGGTTACAAATACATGTACAATAAATCAAACTTTAACTGGAAATACTCGCCAGCAATCTTATTACCGTTATCTCATAATCTTCCTTTAACAGTGCAGCTGATGTTAATGTACCAATCACGTAGCTAGCAAAAAACGAGACACCAGGTTAACAGCTTATTTGATTACATTTAGAAAACGCCAACTTAGTTACAAGCTTGTGACACACAATAATGTGGCCAAATGTTCCCACACATGCATTCATTTCATTTAGTCGGCTAATGCTAGTTTGCTACTTTTTTTTCAGCACTATGTTAACTCCTTTAGCATGCTAACTGACGCTAGTTTGAGCTAGCTCGCTAACAACTTGTTGCGCTTACTTCTCAAGAGCGGCGACGTTTCCTTCTTCACATATTTCCCGTGTACTTCGGCTGGTTTCGACGTTTCGCTTTTGCTTTTCTTTCGTGAGAGCATAACTCAGGCCTCGGAAACATTAACAACACGGCGCTGTAATGACATGGCAAAATCCTTCAACTCTGCGACCATCGCGTTGAACTTGCAAGGCGCAGAAAGTAAACATTTTAGGCTTGTGATTAGCTAGCAGCAAGTTAGCCAGCTAATCTGAGCTACTGGAAGCGTCCAGTCCGGTCTGAGCAGCGCTGCACACCCACCACTGGTCCTCACCGGGACTGGCGCTGCACCGCCCTGGCCCTCTGGTACCTTACCATCAACGAGCAGATCCTTCAGCTAAAACACAATGTTAACAACCGAGCGGAAGCAGTTTCCGCCAGTAAAATAACAAAAAATAAAAGTTAGTCACGATTAAAAAAAGTATTCATGGAAGGTCAAATAACGTGACAAAGTAAAATGTATTAGACAAAAAGGCACATTTGACTTTGTATTGCACAATATTACCTTAAAAAGTAAAAAAAAAAAAAAAAATCGAAACGAAGATAAAAATCCAACTTAAAAAAACGAGTTTTGACCTTTTAAGCCAAAATAATGCTATAAATATAAACACGTCGAAAGACATGCATCTCATTTTGACTTTGGGACTTCCAGATAAAAATCCAACTTAAAAAAATGAGTTTTGACCTTTTAAGCCAAAATAATGCTATAAATATAAACACGTCGAAAATGTGACTGATAATTTTAACTGTCACATAATTGTGACTTCCTGGCTAACAATCTTTAAGTGCAACAATAAATCTTCAGGAGATAGACTTCACTTTTACATAAATCAGCCATATCTCCAAAACAAACAAAAAACGACAATGTTAACCACATTCATTAGAATTGCCATAAATTGAATGTGTCAAAAATACTTAATTACAAGGAAACACAAAGTCCAAGAAATCATAGCAGACAGTGTACATATATTTTATTTAACCCCAGAAAGCAAAATATGACCCCGATTTCATCTTGCACTGTAGCAATGACACTTGAATCAAAGACATTGCTTATGCCAGTCTTCGAATGCAGCTATAGGTTTTGCAGAAGAACACTGGGTTTTATTCAAATACACTTAAATAGCAAATATTGCCACTTGACAGACATTTAAAGTGAATGTAACTTCAGGTAGTGTTGAACAAAGGCAAATACCTTTAAAATGCGACTATATTATGACTTTTTTGCTTGCATAATTTTATTACTGACTGGTTTTGGTTTCCTTACATAAGGGCTAGAGAAGGAAGATGGAGATCAACACCATCAATCTCTTTGATAACAGACAAACAACTAAAACGTGTATTGCTCTTCTCTTTAGAAGGAAAATACTGTGTCATGATAAAAGAGCTACTCATTTACTAGTAACAGTTACTGCTTTGAAACATATTTAAGTTATAATTTACTATAAAATAGCAAATTTCTTTACAGCCTAACCTTCACATTTGTTTCTTCATAGGTTCAACACAAAAACAAATTTACTGCCTCAATAAAACGAACAAATACAGTACATACTTAACATTTAGGCTGAAATTATGTTAAAGATGCAACAGAAAACCCATTTTCTCATCCCTTTGGTTGGATCAGTTGCACAAGACATAATGCAATAAAAAAAAAGGTTTTAAAGACATAAAAAAATATAGTAAATAAACAGTGCAGTTTATGGTTGACTTTGGAGTACTGTTAAAATCCAAAGTGATGCATCATGAGCACTGATAGTGGTAGGGTAGTGTGGGAAGGTGTGATGGGTTCAGGTCTCGCACTATCTTGTTAAGGCTGGAGATCTTCTCTTCCAGTAGGTAGTTCTTCTTCTCAGTGATATTCTGCCGCTGTTCGGTCATCTCCAGAGCTTTCAGCAGCTGGGCGTTCTCCACGTACAGGTCTTTGATCAACACATCTGCTTTGCCATTCTTGTACCGCTAGAGAAGCCACAGACAGGGGAACTCCTTTAAAATAAATCTGCTTAAAAAATTTTCCATTTCATTAATGTTGGTTACTAGAGCAAACATCATCTGCTTGTATTTGTCAGAAGATGTGTATCGAGACATATGCCAATCTGCCATAACATTATGACCACCTGCCCAATACTGTGTATATACCGTAGGACCCAATGCAGGAGTTGACTGGCAATTGTGTGACTGAGGTTCACAGCACCTCTTGTGTGAATCTGTTTGCATAGTTATAGTGTCTAAAAGAGCATTAATGTCTATCATTTAGTAAAAGGAGTGAAACCTGTGGTCATGAGGACAAGTCAGATTTTTTTTTTTTTTTTTTTTTAAACCGATTCAACACCTGCACCATTCTAGGTGTGATATCACCACACAACAGCCCCCGACTCTCTCTCTTCATAGAGACCAATGCACAGTATTTCTGATTTTTAACCATTTTAACAAAGAGTGATCTTTTGAAAAGAAACAACGAAATTTAATCTACAGTAGGTCAACCTCATCATCAGTGAGCCTTGGGCGTCCATGACGCTGTCACTGGTTCACTATCTGTCCCTCCTTAGACACTGTTGGTAGGTACTAACTGGCTACTACAACCCAAGTCTTTGGTACAGTGCTTCCCACTGAATTTCCTGGTCTGTTGTCAGGCACGAAATTTAATCTACAGTAGGTCAACCTCATCATCAGTGAGCCTTGGGCGTCCATGACGCTGTCACTGGTTCACTATCTGTCCCTCCTTAGACACCGCTGGTAGGTACTAACTGGCTTAGGTCTTCTGAGACTTTGCTTCCCTTTTCAACTGGCTACTACAACCCAAGTCTTTGGTACAGTACTTCCCACTGAATTTCCTGGTCTGTTGTCAGGCATAACTTTTATATTGTGTCTCTAATAAACTCAGATCTGATCATTAGCTGTACATTAGATAAATTCTATAACTGAAGCACTCTGAAAAAAAGTCATTCATACATAAGATTTGGTTCTGATGACAGTGTTTGGCCTAAAGTTATTTTGCTTCTGTGAAGACGAAACTGAATTTCTTCTGGTGAATGCGAGTGTAGTAAACTGACCTGGTCTTTCAGCAGAGCAACCTTCTCTTTGAGTAGCAGTTTGACATTACGCAGCGACAGTTCAATTTCCCTCATACGTTCTTCCATGTTCTTCATCTTCCTCTCCCTTTCATCCTGGTGAGAAGACAGTGAAAGATATCAAATTGCTACTAATGTAATAAAATGATGAAATTTTAACTGTCTTGCCTTTGTGCTGCGTAGACAGACGAACATGTGAGAGAATGTCATGAGAAAGAAACATCACATTTGTGAGAGCTAGATGCTTTATTTTAATCTTGATTTTTGCATTAAACAAATACCAGACATCAGTCTGGTATATTTGAGGAGAGGACAATACACTAAAGAATAAATAAAATATAAAGTGTATTCTAGACACCTCATCTAAAATAATTTAATCCATAAATAAAACAAAGCAACATGATTCTACTAAAATAAATAATAATAATAAACAGTCTATACATGGTAACCATGACAATAACAAATATGAGGGGTGCAATATGTCAGTTCATGTGAATTTTCTAATAATAAATACATCAATAGATTGACATTAAAAGTTATCAGCTGAACAGTTCTTATTAAACAATTAAAAAAAAAAAAAAAAAAAAAAAAAAAACTTTCCCCACAAACACAATTACCCAAATTATCAGAAATAACACATGGACCCAGAACACAAACAGGTAGTTTGAAGAAATATTCAGCTAGTGTCAAAAAAAGACAAACAGTGAAAACTTGGCCCCTTCAGTACAAAATCTCTATAAAACCTATATGGAGACAGTAACATCACCTGACATTCACAGGTAGGAACGGTTTGATTGTTAGGGCATGGTCAGGAGGCTGTCAGGCACTAACCTCATGTCTGTGTTAACACTCCTCGATGATCATTAGGCAAACTGTCGCAAAACTTAGCCTCTGAGGACGTGAGCACCCCGTCTCCGACAGGGGCAAATGGTACAAGTGCATAACAGAACATTCCCAGAAAACAGACCCTGCATTCTAAAAAAAAGATTCCCTGTAATCAAGCACAAAAGACTGGCCTCATCCAAAAAGTTCGTCATGCTACAGCTTTGTCGCCTGTAGATGTTACAGTTTATATTTTTATCAAAATCCCATCGGGAAAACATCAGGAGCCTTTTCACTGTTTTCATTTGGCAGCAGGGAATGGCAAATATGCATAATGCCTTTTGAAACAGGCACCACAGTCTCCTATAAGGATAAAGACACAATTCCATTATGTGCTAGTCCAAATATGTCAGTAAAATAAGGAGGAGAGCAGTCCTGGAGGGCAAAGCGGCTAAAGTGAAGAGCAGGGAAAGATGGCACTGTTACAATCCACCGATCCGCCGGTAGCCGTCTGCGTGAGCCGCCCGCTGCTCTGGCATCGGCCCCTGGAGAGAAAAGGCAGGTACACTTCACCAGGGCTCTACTCTCCTCTAATCCCAACAACCTACACAGGCCTGCTCACTTTAACAAAGCAGTACACAGGGATTTTTAGGTCGTTACATGTGCGTTCAAAACCAACTTAAAAAATGTCTTAGGAAATAATTATATGACATACACAGCAACTATGAAACAACCCAACAAACCTTTTAACACTTATGGGATAGTTTTCACATTTCTTCAAGTGTCTTTACACCAACATGCCCATATGTGCACTGAGCGAGGTTACTGTCATTGTAATCATCCTGCCCACACTGCCTCCAAATACATCCTCCATAATAGATTTTTAAAGTAAGAGATGGGGACATAATCCACAGTCCTTATTTTATACTAAAGTACATTCCACGGCCCAAAGCTTATGTGAAGCTTCAGCAATCTGAGTTCAACAAATCTTAAACTTAATCTTTTTATTATCCCTCTAATTCAATAAAACAAAAATGAGATACATTTTTCATACACACACAGAAACAGTGACTTTGGTCGAGACTCCTACTGCTTTAGGACTCAACAGCTTTGGCTGATATTTTGAACCAATTTTTGCACAAAGCAGACTGAACCCAATCTCTCTT